GATGGTGAAAGTTTTTCTTTTTCGGGCCACCCTGCCTTGGTGGGAATCGGCCAGTGTGATAATAAAAAAAAATAACTTCTGAGTGTCTAGAACAGATTAATTGGATTTACATTATTTCTTATGGGGAAAATGGTTTCAGTTTAAGATGATTTCAGTTTTCGCCAATTGCTCTGGAATGGATTAAACACAAAAACTGAGGGTCCACTGGATATAATTTTTTATGTGTTTTAACCCTTTGAGGGTCGACAGGCCCTCTCCGAAACTCGTTCTCAGGGTGGGCCAAATTTCAAAAAAAAAAAAAATTATTTTTTCTTATGAAAAAATAGAGGAGTATTTTTTTTCTAAACATTATATGGCTAAACAAAAAATTTTAAGTCAAACTACGAGTCTGGAGGTGTGAAAATTTGCCAAAATTGAACAAGCATTGGTAACATCGCCGACTGGTCACCCGGTATTTTCTATTTACTTTTTTTATGTACTATTTTCAATTTTTTTCAAATTGCTTCTTTTTCTGAGTAACTTTTATGGCCTCTGAGGCCAAACATGATCAGTATTTTGTAAGTTTATTTCTTTTTCAATACTACACATTAAGGGCGTTAAACACTGTATTGTCTTATTTTGTTTACAGAAAATATTTACCCAAACAAACAATATGAAATGTTGTTTTTTACTATTTTTATATATTTTATTACCACCATTACAGTCACAGGACATGTTTCTAGAAGTTCTGCAGCCTGTGGAACTCTTTGAAAACATGGTGTCATGCACAGTGGAGTTTTGCACTCCTGCACACATAAAACGAGTGTCTCTGCGTTGTCGTGGGCGTTTTTTTGTATGTGAACAGACGTAACACCTCTTCTGAGCCTTTTTCTTCAAAGCAGTGCAGGCAGTTTTACCAGGACAGTGTCACCATCGCTTCAGACGAGCGGTAGTTGTTGATAATTTGGTGGCGCGGTCAATTGCCAGGTGCATTTCTTGGTACTTGAATACTATTTGTCTGAGGACAGACAAACAGAATTCGCCGTATGTGGTTTGTTTCTGGTGCTCTATCTTATACATTATTTATAAGCATTGAGCACGGAAATGTTCCAGAAGATGGAAAAACAGTTTGATGTACACACTTATAAACTCTTGCGAACACAATCAGCAAACCAATCTGCATGTACATTTGTCCACTGAACGCATGTTGAAGTGTGGAATCAATCACAGCTGCGGAGGTTTTAGAATGGGTTCATTTCTCTCTCTATGCTGCTGCCACTGTCTGCCTATTTCATTTAGGGTGATTGATGACAACAGTGTGACATCTCGTTTGTTCATGCTCACCGAAATGCCATGATGTCATTTGGCAGCAAACGCCTGCACCTCACCTCTGCGAGTGCCGCATTCAAACTGGGCATTTGTTTCGTTTTTTGATTTGCAGCACTGTGCCACACACATTCTGTCATGTTTCGCTCGCAAAAAATCACTGAGTGAGGGGGCTTGTGTACCAGTTATCTGTATATAATATATGCCCTTACCCAAGGTATGGTTCTATCCATGTTCGAACCACATCACCTGAGATGCCCACCATAACTTATGGTATTTTTGCATTGTATAACTTCCAGTGTACACAATAATCTCCAATACCAGACCACTGTAAACAAAATCACAAGCACAAAACAACTTTATACCAAAGCGTTTCCTCTTGCTGGTATGTATGTACTGCTTGAAAGAGATCTTACTTTGAACAGAATCAAAGACTCGTTCAATTACAAAGCTTCATGAAGGGGTATAAAAATGAGTACTGAATTTCTGTTTCAGATACACAAACCATTCCTATCTATATAACCTGTCAGTTCTGTCAGGCCTGGTTTTATCTGAGAAAAAAAGTGAAGGCATACGTAACATTAGCACAAATCGATTCTCACTGGCATATATCACTGAAAAATACCTGGTGTTGCATCAGGGGGTCTTGTTGACAGTATGAATTTCACTTGTGCTTATTCACATGTGGCATAAGCATTATTGTGGCAAAGAAAAGATACATCTCAGCCACTGTTGCCTCTTCCATTGGTGTAGACGTGTTTTGGGAGAGTATTGTGTTTGCCATGGTTGTATGTAGTATGTGTTGCTTTCCATGACAATACTTTTCATCAGTGTTCGTCAAAGAATAACTCGAAACATTCCAGTTCTGTTGGCAGGGTTCCCTAGTGCACAGATGGCCGTATTCCACTTTGGCTGCCATCAAATGGTGGGGATTTGGAAACAAAATTGACAGCTTCCTGCCAATCCCAGGTGCGGTCTGCTGGTGGTACTGGACAATGAACAGGTGGTTGTGGTTGTGGAGGTTGTGGTGTGGAGGTTGTGGTTGTGGAGGATGGTGTGGTGGGGGTGTGGGTGGATGGTGCGCCTTTGTTCTAGATCGGTGGGGCAGCGGCGTGGCTGGCAGCGTGGGTGGACCGCATGGCCCACTGCTGGTGCCTCCCACCGCCGGCACCAACTACCACCACGCACATTTTCCATCCCAATTGAACGTATATTCGTCATTTTCACTGTCTGTTCCTGTTGTACAGGCCACGGGATGTAATCGGAGCTACACTCCTTCCCCTTGGTATACCATATGGAACACTTCCAGAGGCGAATATATCGTCGTATATACTGGACGCTTCATGGGGAATATTGCACTTCACTATCACTACTGTGAACTAGTTTGAGAGCTTGTAGTTCTTATTCACTATCACTATCATCACCCATTGCTCTCATCTGAGTTGGGATCTTGGGAAAATAGAAGTTTCCTCTTGGGTTCAGGAACAACTGAACGTGAACCGAGGTCCCAGCACAGAGGTGGAAGGTGAGGGTCGTCTGGTTTATCTTCACTATTACCGATATATTTGGTCATTAGTTTCGTCAAAACCTCACTAAATACACGAAAATCTCTTCACTGGCAATTCCATCACTATTAGAACTGTCACTGGGGAACAAAAGTGCTCCCAATTCGCCGAGGAGAGAGAGCACTTCTTACCGCAAGGCATGGTGGACATTGTTTACTAAGGGGGGCATTCCCACAATGCACCACTGGGTCCAGGATTTTTTTTCTACCGCGAACACTGACCCACGCAGACCCATTCTCTCAACCTAGGCCTATCAGCCTTTTTCGCGACGAGATTTTGAGGCGCTTGAATTTATGCGTACTAGTTCGTCCAAAAACCCCTACGCGTAAGACGTACTAGTACGACGAAAACCCTCAAAGGGTTAATGCTATATATTAAGAAAAATATAATTTAATAATTTTGTAACATAAATATTAATGTAAATTCATCAACATTTACATATAAAATATAATACAGTGGACCCCCGGTTTACGATATTATTTCATTCCAGAAGTATGTTCAGGTGCCATTACTGAATGAATTTGTTCCCATAAGGAATATTGTGAATTAGATTAGTCCATTTCAGAGACCCCCAAACATACACGCACCAACGCACTTACATAAATACACTTACATAATTGGTCGCATTGGGAGCTGATCGTAAACCGGGGGTCCACTGTACTGTATAAAAAATTAAATTATCACTGTATATTTCCATACGTATACCAAAGAAAACAGGGTTGCATGAATTACAGTATACCAAAGAAAATGGGTTTGCATGAATTACAATACATATGGGAGTAACATTGGTATTTTACATTCTAGCACTGCGGGAGACATAGCAATACAGTACTGTATCCCGGGTTTATCTTTAATTTTTTTTTTTAAGGGTGATGTATGAAATTGAGTTTGAAATTAAATCAAAGTGTTTTGGGGTATATTTAGGGTTTAAACCATAAAAATAGGCGTTCACAGTTTTTCCACAGTTTTTCCAAATTCATGGGTGGTCTTGGAACATAGCCCCCATGAATTTGGGGGAACTGCTGTATTTATACTAATTATTCCAAGTGCAGCAATGTTTGATGTGCTACAACAACTTGAAACACATCTTTCTTTGAACACACCCGTATCCCACTGAGGCAGGGTGGCCCAAAAGGAAAAACGAAAGTTTCTCCTTTTACATTTAGTAATATATATACAGGAGAAGGGGTTACTAGCTCCTTGCTCCTGGTATTTTAGTCGCCTCTTACAACACGCATGGCTTACAAAGGAAGAATTCTGTTCCACTTCCCCATGGAGATAAGAGGAAATAAACAAGAACAAGAACTAGAAAGAAAATAGAAGAAAACCCAGAGGGGTGTGTATACATATATGCTTGTACATGTATGTGTAGTGTGACCTAAGTGTAAGTAGAAGTAGCAAGACATACCTGAAATCTTGCATGTTTATGAGGCAGAAAAAAGGACACCAGTAATCCTACCATCATGTAAAACAATTATAGGCTGAAACACATCTATTTAAAAAAAAAAATCTAGTATATATAGCATTAAACATTAAAAGCAATTAAAAAAACAGAAAAACAATCATATATCAAAATCAATAAATTTTAAATGTAAACATGCTCCTTTTTTTTTCTTCCTTTTTTTTTTAGTGCTTTAACACTGCTGATGCTGACTAGTGATCATTTTTTCACCAACTTTAACAGACTATAAAGTCATAAGTTTTTTTTATCAGGTTTCACTCATTTTAGTCTTATTCGATTTAGAAAAACAAGCTCTGTCAATCTGTAAGAAAAAAAATGTTTTTATTTTATTTTTCAAAATCTCCCCCCCCCCCCCCCCCCCCCCCCCCCCCACACACACACATACACAGGAATTTTTTTTCCAGGGTCTCCCAAAGTTAAAGGATTAAAAACCTTTTATTTTTGAGGACACCAAATACAGTACATATATTTCTCTATTCTCTCTGCTACAAACAGTTAAAAGTTGAACAATATTTCTTGCTCCTAGATGGCATTTGTAATATGTCTGTATAAGGGTAGCTCGTGTGTGTGTGTGTGTGTGTGTGTGCACACACATACTTGTGCATGTGTGCATACACTATCAAAAATAAAAGAAATTTGAGTCTTCTTATGGCATGATTCTCCCACAGGACTCGACTCCTACAGTCTCGGATGTTCCAGTCTGGATGATGCACTTGCAGCAGAAGATTGAGAGCGCAGAAACACCTAGAAATGTGAAGCTGTTCCTCTTGCGGTTGATGATGAATACCTCTAAGGTGTTCGCTCCTTATGCAGCTCATTTTGTTAAACCCATCCTCAGCTGTCTGGTTAATGGAACTCTTGGAGATAAAATTAATTACTTCCTCTGTGATTTGGTAAGGGTACCTAATTTTCTGCTTACATTAGCTTAGTCAAAGTATGGAAAGGTAATCATTGATATTACAGTAATGATTTTCCATCTTTTGTTACAACATTAGGATCATAAGTTCCTTAATCCACATGAAAATAGTTTTTACATATTTTTATCATCAGTTCCTTTTCTCATACTGCTAATATATTCTGATATTTCGATGAAGAAAGGGAGGCGGTAATTTCATGCACTGGCCAGGGAGGTATAACATCTTTTAGGAGTGAAGAAGAGCAGGATGTCAGTGTGGGAGAGGTGCATGAGGCATTATGTAGAATGAAAGGGGGTAAAGCAGCTTGCCCTGATGGGATAATGACAGAAATGTTAAAAGCAGTGGGGATACGGTGTTGGAGTGGTTGGTATTATTGTTTAACTCCTAAACGGTCCAAACGTATATAAACGTTCTTACCGCTAGTGCCCAAACATATATACAGTAGGGCCCCACTTGTACAGCAGGTTATGTTCCAGGCTACCACCATAAAGCGGAAATCGCCGTCAAGTGGAACACCCTTTTTTTCCCCTTTATAAATGCATACAGATACTAGATAACAAGTTTACACTAACATATATTAAGTTACCAATAGAACTAGGCATCAGAAAACAATACACACATAGTGCACTCATTACTTACCTTAAAATATTTATAATCTTAATCTAGGGTGAGACAAGTAGTATTTATTGTAAGAAATCAAGTGTGGTATGTATGGTAGTCAGCCGAGCTACCATACCAGGCCACCCCACCTACACGAAATATTCTATTACATTTAAGCATACCAGAGCGATAAAATGCATATACAATTTACTCATTACTTACCTTAAAATATTTGTAGTCTTAATCTAGGGTGAGATGAGTAGCATTTATTGTAAGAAATCAAGTGTGGTATGTATGGTAGTCAGCTGGGCTACCATACCAGGCCATCCCACCCACACATAGTAGTATTCTATTACATTTAAGCATCCCAGAGTGATAAAATGCATATACAGTTCACTCATTATTTACCTTAAAATATTTGTGTCTTAATGTAGGGTGGGGGGGAAAGTAAAAAGAAAAAACAAATAAAAAAGAGAGAAAGTACATGAGGGGGCAGGCGCAGGTTTTGTAAACAAACCAGGTGAACGAAAAGTTTTGTAAAAAAGGTACACGTTGGTTTGTGAAATTTACATTGGTAAAGTTGTCTTACTTGATATGGTAGAATAAATAAAAAAAACACCCCCCATTCTCATGAAAACCCCATTTTTAGAAGAAATAACGCTTTGTTTTGGGAAGGCAAGGGAAAAATAATCACTCTGATTTTTTTGGGTTTTCCCTAGGCTCTTAACTATGTGTTATGTATGATAATCTATGTAACTGTATTTGTTTCCAAAAAAAACTTAATACATACGAAAGAAAAAATTTTTTTACGTTCCCCCAGAACAATTTTCTCTTATTTTTTTGAAATTTTAGCTACATACAGAGGTTAAAAAAAAAATACAGGTAAGAGCAGCATCCCAAAACCCCCATTTATATGCATGCATTAGGGGCTGGCTTAAAATTAATTTAAAGTTAACTAAGCAAGTGAAATCATGTAAAACATTTTTGAAAACAATAACTAAAAGCAAAATAGATTACAAAGGGGTCATAGGGTTTGCTGCATTGCTGTCATTCGTCGAAGGGAGTATTCTTTTTAGGTAGGTTTTTAAAAAAATAACAAAGTTAGATTGGGCCCCTAGGTTTAACATTTTGAGATATAATTGTGAGAAAATTTGGATATAAATTTAAAAGGTTCAGTTTTCAGTATTTATTTGTTTTGGTGGTAGTGATCTTTGAGAAGAGACTTGAATTTATAAACAGGTAGTGTTCTTTTATATTAAAGGAAATGAATTCCGATTTTGGGGCCCTTTTTGGCTTTTGTTTTTGCTGCGGGATGGGGAACGAGGAACATCAAAGAGTGATCTGTCCGGTTATGGATGTGTTCTGTTGAGGTTGGAAGGAGATGTTTAAGGGGGGGTTTAATATCAGAGTTAAGGTTCTATGATGAAATGGGTGCAGTAATAAGTAGGATTTTTTTATGGTGAGTAGGTTGGTTTTTTGAATTTTGGGGGGAAAGTGTGCTGCCTGTAGGGGAAAATTTTGTTATCATTCAAAATGCACCTTTTGTTGGGTAATTAGTGGTCTGGAGGGTTTAAATTTGTTGTTGGCCCATGCACAAATTCCATAGGTGAGATAGGGGTAAAAAAGAGGGGGGAAAAGGGGCCCGGGAGGGCTGCTGGGGAAACATAGTACCGTTCTTCGATAGATGCCTACAGTCTTGGAAAATTTTTTAAAAATTTTGTTGTATATGTGATAAAATTTTTGGTCTTTTATAAGGTGGTTTCCAAGAATTTTCCTCTGTTGCTTTGGAAGGGATCTGTTTTCGTTTTTTTAAAGAGGTCCCTCTGTAGCGCTTTTACCAAACTTAATGAATATTTTTTGTAAAATGTTTAGTGTAAGTTTGTTAGTCCCACCAGGTGATATTTTCTGTAATTCGGTGTTTAAGTTTGGCTAGCGTGTGGGCTCGGGTGGAGAAACGTATGTAGTGTTCTGAAAAAAGGTGGGTTTGGTATTGGAAGCTTTTGGTAAGTCTTTTATGTTAGGAGAAAGAAAAGGGGGCCCAAGGGACACTTCCCTGGGGGGACCCCAACGAATTGGTTGGGGGAAAGAGTTGCCCATTTGCGTACACATATTGGTTCTGTTGCTGAGGTATACTTGGGATTGAGGGGGTGCCCTCTAAAACCAAAATGTGACAATTTTAGTGGAGCAAGTCAGGTAACGTTCAAAAACTTTGTAAGTAAAGAAGACCCCCAGGGGGGATTTCTTTTTTTCTTTTGCAGTGTTTATGTTTAGCATGTGTAAAATGCATCATTGGGTATTTTTATAGGCCTGAACCCAAAAGGGCGGGGGGTGAGAATTTTTTGGGAGATAAGGTAGGATAGATTCGTTTTAAATTTAAATTTTTTTCAAAGTTTTTTGAGAGGGGGTGAAAATTTGGGAAATTTTGGGGCCTATGTTATTCAACTCTGTTTGGTCTCCTCCTTTATGGACGGGTGACCCTTCTATTTTGAGAGCTGTAGGGAAGGTGGGGGATTCAATGGATTTTTTAAAAAGAGTGTTGCAATGTTTGGTATAGTAGTGACCTTTTTTTTAAAGGGTGGAAAGGGTATTTAATTCCTGCCTTGTTTTTTGGGCGTTGATAATAATGGAGACTTCGTATGGGTTAGTCGGAGCTAGGAACAGTGTTTCGGGGAGTTGCCCCGTGAGGGGGGGTTATTTGGTGGGGTATCTGAGTTGGGATTTTATTTGGCAGGTTTTGTCCTTTGGGAGAAGAAATCATTGAGTCTGTTTGTGTTTCTGTTGGTGGGGAGTTGGGGTTCATTGTTTTGTAATTTTATTTCGCATTTCGTGTATCTTTTTTGTTCCCGGATTTTGTAGGGTTTCCCGGTTTTTTTAATTTACCCCTAAGTTGGATAACTGTTTCTAAAAACAATTTTTTGCCCCTTTTTCAGGTGGTTAGGGTTGCGAGTAAGTTTTGTTTGGTCTCTGGTTTGGACCCTTTGTACTGTTTTTCTATCGGTGTTTTTATTTATGGATTTTAGAATGCTGGGTGTTAGCCCGGGACTGTTCAGTCTTTACCTGTATTGTTTGTTTTTTAGGGCATGCTTTTTATAGAGGTATTGGGTCTTTTTTTGAAAAATTAAAAAACATTGTCAATTTGTATAGTTTCAGTCAGTGTGCCCGTCAAGTTTTTTACTGGGTGTTGTGAAGTTATTAATGGCGCCCCATTGTGAAGTTGAAGGGGATTTGTAGTGTCTTGGGGTATTTTTCCAAGGTTGTTATGGGGGAAAATAAGGTAGAGGTTGTGGTATTATCTGTATTATGCCTGTTTTAAAGGGGATATGGTGTTGGTCCGTGTGGGCAGTGGGAAAAAAACTGTCTCCGTAATCTTGAGGTTTTGTTACGTTTGGGAGAACATGCAGTTATCATTGTGTTTGTGAATTTTAGTAAAGTGTGGGGCCTGGTCTTTCAGGGTGTAAGTGATCTTTTTTTCTGCGTGCACAGTTATCATACTTCTAGGTTTTGGGCTAAATTGGCTAATGTTTTATTGTGGAACTCTGTAGAGTTTATCACTGTGAGAGGTTTTTTTAGGTATTTGGATTTGAATTTAGCTATTTTTATATTTTCCCCCGTTTCCCCTTTTGCAAGATTAGTGTAATTTAGTTGGGCTGAGTAGTAATAGCTGTGCCCCCCCCCTTTTTGGTCGGCCTACAGTTGTGTATGGTGTGTAAACCGGAATGGCATAGAATTGTAGTATCGGCTTTGCCCGGTTCGTTAGTGTAAAGGGGAATAGTGGATGCAAGGAAATTTTGTATGCTGTGAGGTCACGTAAGCTTTCTTTTTAAGATCTGATTTGTAGTTAAAAATAGTTTGTTGTTTTTAGCTCTGAGAAGTGCCTTTGATTGCCTGCTGTGTTTAATTACAGTAATGTTTGAAACATTTAAGTCATTAAATAAAAGGTTTGGGATCAGGTCAAGCTTGTAAACATAAGATTTTTAGTGAATCTTAGTTTGAATTTAAATCTAAACAAAGTAAATATTCTAAAGCTAAAAAAAAAAGCACCCGAATTATTTAACAAAAGTAAAAATAAAGAATTTAAAATAAAATTATAATATAAAAGGGACTAAAAATTTAAATTTTGGTGAACAATAAAGGGTAATCAAATAATTGCATAAGGTCAAAAATAATGACTTTTTGGAGTTAGTTTTGGCTGAAGAGCTATAGTACAACTAGATTAAACTAATAAAATAAAAAAACAAATAAAAAAAGCACCGTCTCTCACTAGTAAATTTCAGTTTGGGCTAATATAATGAATTTGGTATTGATAAGTAAATGAGTTTTAAATTTAAAAATATAAAAAAGGCAAAAGACTCTCAATTGTAATTGCCTAAGGGTTT